CCTGGATTTCAGATCAGAAAAATGGCTGAGTAGATGTTTGTTGGATGAGCTGTAACTTGGTGGTGATGTGAGGGAAACAATGAGGGAGGTTAATTACAGGTTGAGTGCAAGTCACTATTTGTTATGCTCTTTTTTTTTTTTTTGAGTTGGAGTCTCACTCTGTCACCCAGACTGGAGTGCAGTGGCTGCTCCCAGCCAACGCAGCCTCAATCTGCTGGATTCCGGCAATCCTTCCACCTCAGCCTTCCGAGTAGCCGGAATTACAGGAGCGTGCTACCACGCCCGGCTGATTTTTGATTTATTGTAGAGATGAGGTCTCGCCAAGTTGCCCAGGCGGGTCTTGAACCCGTGGGCTCAGGCAATCCACTCATCTCAGCCTCCCAAAGCGCGGGATTACAGGCTGAGCCACCAAGCCAAGCTATGCTCTTTATTTATTTATTTATTTATTTTATTTTATTTTATTTTTTATTTATTTATTTATTTATTTTTTTTGAGTTGGAGTCTCACTCTGTCATCCAGACTGGAGTGCAGTGGCCCTCGAGTTGCTGGGCTCTGGCGATCCAATTCCTGCCACCCATCTATGCAGAGGAAATGGCTAGTGTCCTCAGACTATACTCTGTGGGTATCTGGTTTTTTCCTCTCCCTCTGCCCTACATTCACCGGCAATTTTTTGTGACATCACATTGCCCTGTCAGTGGCACTGCTCCATCACCTGCTGATCCTTACCGGTCTTTTCCCCCTTTTCTCCCCCCCCCCCCCCCCCGCACATCCTGTCTCCTGGCTTATCAACTTTCCAAGGAAACAGCTGACTCCCACCAGAGCTCTTCTTTTTTCTGCATTGTAATTAGAGTGTTAGGGCAAACGGATTCTTCTCTCCTATGTATGGTTCTGTTAAATTCTCAACTGCATGTTCTAGAGGAGTTCTGGGAATTAAATCTTGGAATAGCTAACATTTACTCTGGGTAGTTTGCAGATATAATGCTTCAAATAATCCTGAGCCCCTTTCCAAAGCCACATGAGTTACATAGAACTATCTATCCAGGCATTTTCAAGAGATGGGAAAATTTGTAACATTATTTCATGAAATCACTCTAGTAGGGCCTTTTCTTAAACTCTACAGATAATTTTCTTAAACTCTACAGATAATTCTCTTGTGCTATTTTACATACATTTTTATGTACATAGTGTAGATGTATTATTAGATGTTTATTGTAAGCCTTAATTATTTTAATCTGGTATATAACTACTTGAACTTCAGAGTACAGAATTCTGAAGCTTAATGAGAAAACTACTTATGTCTGTTTATCATGTGATTTTGGCAAAGACGACAAAGGCAGATGTCTAATAGCCACGTGGTTTCTCTTCTGGTAGCAGGTTAAAACCACAGGTTACATCTTTTAGTGTAAATATTCAAAAGTTTCTTCTTTAACCTAATAGTAATTTCTTTCTGGTGTTACCCATTGAAATAGCACCCGCCTATCACCTGTCTGTCTTGGTAGCTTTGAAAGCTATGATTTATTCTTTGTCCTGGTCTGACCACGGCAGGCTTTTACTTAAATCATGGAAGACATACTTTGATTCATGTTAAAAACTAATCTCATGCTGCGCAAATCTGTTGTTTGTGGTTTTATAATGTATGATTTAGTAACCCCTTCCTGAGTACAAATGCACCTTTATTTGATATTCTTGTATGTAGATTGACTTCTGTATGCCTTTTCCTCAAATACAGGAATTTAAGATTGAGTACATACAGTTACAAAGCCATTCCTGTTGGGGATAATTAAAAAGAGGAGTTTAAAAGGAAGTGAAGGACTTGTCATTATTGGAAACTGGAGGAAGGGCGGTCCTGGTTATATAGTGGCAGGAAGCTTAACGACACCATTGCCTTCGGTAACACAGAAGGTAGAAAATGTGCCTGAGGAGTTATATGATCTAGCTCAAGATTTTCCAAGCAAAGTGTTGAAGATACCATCTGGTTACTTCTTGCTTCTTATTGTAAAACGTGAGATTTGGATTAATCATAGGAAGGACTATTAAAAAGAAACCAATCTCAAGCCTCTCAAGAAGCAAAAATGCTAAAACTAAGAATTGGCTTATAAAGAAAACTCAGACTCACTATGAGTTTTCTTAGCATCAGGTATCTCTCTTATCTGGTTGCAAAATTATGTCTATATGTGTGATTGTTATTTGATATATGTTGACTTGAACCCCAGGCAGGGGAAGTGGCTTTTATTTCCATCTAAAGCATGGATTATAAGCTATTTGAGACTAGGTTGTTTCCGTGGTTGAGCAAATATATTGCAGAAAAAGGAGCCATCTTATGAAAGCCTCAGTATTCCCTGATATGTATGGTCCTGGAAACTCGAAGACCAAAAGAGAAGAGCCAGGGCTAACTCTTAGGCAACAACAGTTCTTTTGGGCTCACCTGCAAGGAAGCTGTTTAGAGAACCAAAGATGATAGGCACCAACAGCCTTTAGCAGTGCTTTGGGAAGCACAGGAGAAAAATTATAGGTGTCCACTCACTGGCACAGAAAGGTCAAGTTAGTGCTGAGTTTTTAAGTCTGTGTCACCCTCTCAGCTTCATAATCTCAACCTTTTGGTCCAAATCGTTACACTACTTTTGTAAATAATATAGAAATTAGATATTTTGGCATCAACCAAATCTATTCATTTGGTTGGGGAGAGCCATGAAATATATTGGTTTTTACTATAAAGCATTCTGTTTTTAAATTAGTTTCCCCCCCTAAACAAAAAAGCAAAACCTGAAATTATGAACATATAAAACATTCTTTCTTTTTTTTTTTGAGTTGGAGTCTCGCTCTGTCGCCCCACCACAGCCTCGACCTGCTGGGCTCCGGCGATCCTTCCGCTTTAGCCTTCCAAGTAGCCGGAATTACAGGCATGCGCTACCACGCCCAGCTGATTTTTTGATTTATTGTAGAGATGAGGTCTCACTGCCCAGGCGGGTCTCGAACCCGCAGGCTCAGGCAATCCACTCACCTCAGCCTCCCAAAGACGTGGGATTACAGGCTGAGCCACCGAGCCCGGCTAAAACATTATTTCTTAAACCTTGGCCTCACTGGCATTTTGGGCTGGGTTATTTTTGTTGTAGAGTGCTGTCCTATACATTATAGGATATTTAGCAGCATCCCTGGCCTCTACCCTCTGGATGCCAGAGGTACTGCCCCCACATGCCATTCCTCCAGGTTATGAGAACCAAAAATGTCTACAGACATTGCCTGATGTCTCCTAAGGGACAAAAATCACCTGCTGAGAACCACTGCCATAAAGAAAGAAAAATCAGAAAAAGAAAAAATCGCAGTGGAATTTAATTGTCTACTAATTTGTACTATTTACTTAAAAAACTCTTGATCTATGTTCTGCTTTGAAAAGATAATATATTGGTTAAATAGTTGTAAATTAAAGCAATGCACCAGTTTGGTCCTGAAGATTAGAATTTTTGCTTTGGGAAAAATATAGTAGGTGTTTCCTTCAACAGTAAGCAAATATCTTAGGTATATGAAATAAATACCTCACTTGACAGATGAGAAAGTCTGAAATAGCTGTTTAGCAGAATAGTCAGGGAAGAACCCAGGTTTTTGTTTTTTTTTTGACTTGGAGTCTCACTCTGTCGCCCAGACTGGAGTGCAGTGGCCGCTCCCGGCCACCGCAGCCTCGACCTGCTGGGCTCAGGCGATCCTTCCGCCTCAGCCTTCCGAGTAGCCGGAATTACAGGCATGCACTACCACGCCCGGCTGATGTTTTGATTTATTGTAGAGATGAGGTCTCGCTGCCCAGGCGGGTCTCGAACCCGTGGGTTCAAGCAATCCACTTACCTCAGCCTCCCAAAGGCGCGGGATTACAGGCTGAGCCACCGAGCCCGGCTCCCAGTTTTTTTAATGTTTGACCCAGGGAGTATTTTTCTTGTTAGAGTGGTCCACTTGATAACAGCCTAAGTGATCATTATCATCCAAGGCACTTTGAAAAAGTAGAAACTTCTTCCTCTCTCACAGTTTTCAAGGATGCTGATAAGTTATGTTTGGAAGCCACTTTTCCTGTCTACCATGCCACTCATTTATTTTAATTACTTAAGTAAGTCATTTTTAATGGAGTTTTCCAGCTAGTTAGGATTGATCATATCACTAACTCTATACCTTCAGGTTCATCTGTAAAAAGATGAAGAATGGGAGGGTATGTTTGTGTGTTCACTTTTCCAAGCAGTGGTAGATGACAACTTTTTACACTGAGCAGGGGAAAAAAATGACTACTTTGAGTAGCTAAATTTTGGTAGTGTCTGATTAGGTGGTAAGATGACTTCTGCCTGTTCTGTCATGTGACTCTTTTAAGTCTTATCAACAGTGTTTTCTGAGTGGTTTAAAAGAGAAAGGCAAGAAATGTTGGGTATGTTTTGTAAGAAGCCCTGCACACCCCGGAGAGCAGAATGTTGATGAAACTAGAATGGTCAGTAGCTTCACAGTCAATCTTTAGGCATCCATTCCTGTGCTATGGAAAATGTGCTGAAGTTATATTAGTACTGGGTGTAAGGTAGGTTGAGAGCCTGGTGGTATTTTAGAGTGAAATTGACCATCCCTGGTGTAATCAGTTCCTCTGTAGACATTGAATGTAATCTGTGGTATCAAATATCAAAAATTCCAAGGATTAAATGAATTCAGGATAATTATCACAATAGACAGTGCATTTAATTATAAAACTCCTAAGACATTATGGGAACTCATTGCCTCATGCTTCACTTGTTTTCCTTATATCACAATAATGTTTCCATAATTTAAAATGAATCAGAACTCTTCTGTACGTTTTTCAATAAAATTAATTTCTAGAAATCTACTCTTAATTTAAATAATTTCAGTATCCTGGTGAATTCTACCTTTCTTCAAATAGACATAAAGTATTTGACTAATACAGCATTTTATAATATGGTTTTCTCATATTAGTGTTAGTTTCTTACTGTTGCCCATTTTACTTTTTGACTCTCTTACAGTGCCTAAACCAACCAATGTTAAAATCGAATCCTATAACATGAACGCTGTTGTATTTTGGGAATACCAGGTCATGCCACAGACCCCTCTTTTTACCGTACAAGTGAAGAGCTACGGGTGAGTGTTGCTCTCTTATTTATCCTTTTTATTCTATTTGCACATTCCACAACTCTCTGTGTTCTCTTACCGTGCTTCCTTCCCACATGGCAGAACTTCCTGAATTTCTTGCAGGTGTTCAAAAACGTTAAAGGATGCTAATTACTTATTTGCAAAATAATTCTGCCTCTTATTTCTTCTTTTTATTAATATTGAAGTAGAAAAGTTCACTAACTTCTGAGATTTTAAGGCATGACAAATACAGCTAATAGTTAAGGTGTTACCTTACCTCCTATAGTATATGTACTTTTTAGTTGAAAGATATAAATTTTTAAAAACCTTTTGACAACTTAGTCTTTGTAATGTGTTTTATTCTATAATTAACATCTATATTAGTGAAATCTAGAGTTGCTTAAACAAGTAGATTTTTAAAAATTAGATGTGGAGTGTAGTTTGTACAGGTCTTACATTTTAAATTGAGCCTTTTTATTGTAAAAGAATTTTTAGTACTTCTAGCCAAAGAGTTAGGGCTTTACTACTTCTGGCTTCAATACTTTACTGGCTTTGGTACTTCCAGCCAAAGAATAAGGGTTTATTTTGTCTAGCTTCTCCATCCTGTTTGTATTCAGTTCTTTCTCCCAGCTCTATGCTATGAATGAAAAACAAAGCACAGACTAGACGTTTTGTGTTTATCTGATAACAGTAAAAGTTATCATTGTATTTTTTACTCCTTTACCTTTAGGAAAACACATTGGAGTGATGCCTGCATCAATATTTCTCATCATTATTGTAATATTTCTGAGCACTTTGGTACTCCATCACGTTCTCTCTGGGCCCAAGTTAAAGCTAAGATTGGACAAAAAGAATCTGCTTATGTAAAATCAAAAGAGTTTAATTTGTGCCTAGATGGTGAGTAGAATGCATACATGTGTAAATTTTAAATTGGAAAACACTTATACAAGCATTCTGAATATATTTTCTTTTAATAGCAGTTGCTAAAAATGATCGCAATGCCTATTAAACATTTAGAGGAATTTAGAAAGTCAGTATAGGTTGAGCATCCTAAGTCCAGAAATCCCAAATGCTCCAGTGTCCAAAACTTTCTGAACACCAACATGACGCTCAAATGACTATTCATTGGAGCATTTAGGATTTTCAATTTGGGGTGCTCAACTGGTAAGCATAATCCACAATAAATTAAAAAAACAAAAGAAATCTAAAGCGCTTCTTTTTTTTTCTTTTTTTTTTTGAGTTGGAGTCTCACTCTGTCGCCCAGACTGGAGTGCAGTGGCCGCTCCCAGACACCGCAGCTTCGACCTGCTGGGCTCTGGCGATCCTTCCACCTCAGCCTTCCAAGTAGCTGGAATTACAGGCATGCGCTACCACGCCCGGCTGATTTTTGATTTATTGTAGAGATGAGGTCTTGCTGCCCAGGTGGGTCTCAAACCCACGGACTCAGGCAATCCACTCACCTCAGCCTCCCAAAGGCATGGGATTACAGGCTGAGCCACCGAGCCCAGCTTCTAAAACCCTTCTGATTCCAAGCCCCACAAAATAGGGCTAAGAGGTGGCCATCACTTTGCCCCTTCTATACCATGATATGTCTACCCCATACAAATAAGAATCAATGCTGTCTAGCTATACTGTGCACCAGCATCACCCTTTCTCTCCCCAGCTCTAGTCATTCATTTCTAAGTTACATTCACAGAGGACTTTGACAGCTAACTTTCATTCTAAGTCTTTAACGCCTGTGGGAATTTAAATACCGCCTTCATATGTCAAAAAATGTTAGAATTCCTTAATCTGTCCAGCACCGTGGTTTTCAGCTCTTCACTCTTCCAGCATCTCACTCCCATGACAAACCTGATTTTTATCACCTCAAACCCTAGCATCTTTAGTGCCAGCTCCCATTTTCTGACTATGACATCCTGCCTTAGCATTCAGACCTTCACTCCTGAGTTAAAGAAAGCTCTAGTCACTTGACTCTTCCCTAGTCTTCTAGTCCCTCAGTACCTTTTCTTCTAGCTTCACTTCCTTCCTTTTCCTGCTTTTGCTTTTCAGACTGTCTCTTCCACAGTCCTTTCTCCAAGGGCCCTTTAAATATTTTTATTCCCCAGCATCCACACCTTTGTCATCTGATAGCCATGTCATCTATATGTCAGATTTTTTTCATGCAGATTTATCAAGGGTCTACTGTGTGCCAGAAAGCATGCTACATCCTGGTGATACACTGGTGCATAAAGATAGACCTGCCTGGCACACAGTAGTTCACAGTAAGTGTGTGAAGAATAGATAAATGGCTCACCAACAATGAGCCATTGACACAAAATGCATATTTGTTGAATACATGAACATCTAGTTTGGATTTTCACAATAAAAAGAATGTTGGTGAGGGAAGATAACTAAAATGCCGTTTCTGAAATATTTTTTTAGAAACCAAGTTTCTTAATCTACAGAGCAAAGATAAAGGACAAATTAATAGAGTTTTTTTAATGTCAAATCTTTTTTTTTAAGCAGGTTTAGAACCAACTTTTTTTTCTCTAGAACTAGAAATGAAATAAATCTGATAAGGAAGAGCTTAGATTCAAGAGTACGCCTTAGGCCAGGCATGGTGGCTCATACCTGTAATCCCAGCACTTTGGAAGGCCAAGGTGAGAGGATTGCCTGTGTCCAGGGGTTCGAGACCAGCCTGGGCAACTTGGCAAGACCTCGTCTCTACAATTAAAAAAAAAAAAATTAGCCAGGCTTGGTGGCATGTACCCGTAGTTCCAGGTACTTGGGAGGCTGAGGCAGTAGGATCTCCTGAGTACAGCAACTCGAGGCTGCGGTGGCTGTGGGTATGCCACCACACTCCGGCCTGGGCAACAGAGTGAGACCCTGACTCCAAAAAAAAAAAAGGGACAATCCTCTCAGGTCCTCTCCCACTGTGGGAGCTTTTCTGTTTTTTCAATAAATCCTGCTTTCTCAAAAAAAAAAAAAGAAAAAATTACTTCTTGCCTGAGTTGTATTAAACATTTCTTTTTAAGTACACTTAGAACATCTTCTAGATCTTTGTGGAGGTATTTAAATGTGGTCCTGCTTTAGAACAAAAAAGAGTAGGCTAATTGATTGACTTGGGTGATTTTATGAAATGTACCATGAAGTTCCGAGGCCAGTACTAATTGTACTTCCGCCTCCTTCCCCAGGAAAAATTGGACCACCCGAACTGAAGATCAGAGAGAAGGAAAACCAAGTCATTGTTACTGTACTTCACCCTTTAATTCCTATAAGTGGAGAAGAGCTTGAAGCTAATTACGATTATGAAAATGGCTGTTACACATTCATATACAGTGTGTATGTGAGAGTGGATGAAAATGAGGTAAGTTTCTATTTTCAATTTTTCAGAATGGGGCCAGGCACAGTGGCTTATGCCTGTGATCCCAGTGCTTTGGGAGGCCAAAACAGGAGGATGGCTGGAACCCAGAAGTTTGAGACCAGCCTAGGTAACATAGCAAGACCTCGTCTTTACAAAAAATCAATATGTTAGCCAGGCATGGGGGCACACACCTATAGTCCCAGCTACTCAGGAGGCTGAGGTGGAAGGATCGCCTGAGCCCAGGAGGTCAAGGCTGTGTTGAGCTATGATCCTACCACTGTTCCCCAGCGTGGGTGACAGAGTGAGACCCTGACTCAAAAATATTTTTTCTTCATAGTGGAAATTTTTCTGTAGTTAACATGAGTGGTTTCTGTCTGTAGTGTAATGAAAGTAGAATGCTTATGAATATTCAGGCAAGACTCACAGATCATAGATTTTAAAAAGAAAATAAATGTGAATGCTAGTGAAGGAAATTGACATGAAGTTAATCACTAACACTGTGTGAATACGTTTAAATTTTTTCTTTGCCTCATTTAGCAGCTTGGCTCTAATCTAGGATTTTGCCTTGTATATCTCCATTTCTCCACTGGTAAGATGAGGATAATTTTAACTTTTTCTTTCTCACTGATGGTGATGTAAACTAACATGAAGCATTGTTTGAAAGAGCACATTGACAGTCCACCTGTGGAGATATACTTACATTCTGGCACTGGTATGGAGTCCACACTTTGATTAGAACTATTCTACTCCATTCTCCATGATGGCTGCCATTAATTTACTTAACAAATATTGATCAAGTACACACTATGTACCAGGAGTACAGAAGTGAACAGTAAAGACAAAACTTGGGGAGAATTGCTCTGGAGCAGAGAAGGAAGATGAGCATTTGTGGGGGTAGAGCACTGATTGTTAACAGGGTGGTCAGAGCAGGCCCCACAGGGAAGGGGCTAATTGGAGCCAAGACTGAAGGAGACTAGGAGGGGAGCCCTGTGAATGTCGTGGGGAGAGTTTCAGATAAAGGCCCTGCAGGAGCATAACAGGCATGTGATTGGAGCTGCAAGGGGACAGTGAGACTTGGGCAAGTGCAGGGAGCAGGTGATGGCAGAGATGTCACTGGGGGGGGGCCACATCTCTTAGGACACTGGAGGGATTCAACTTTTAATGCATATACATGCAATCATATAAGTATGCATGTTCAAACATACACAAATTCATACATATACACAGTCGTACATATACACCTATTCATGCATATACATGTTCACACATACACACTCATACATCGACACACAGATATGCACACACGTTCACACACACATTTATACATACACATGTTTATAATACATATACACTCATGCACACACACAATCATGCATGTACACATGTTCATACACACATTCATACATATATACACAATCATACATGAAAGAAGTTCAGCGCCAGTAATGACTCCACACCTGGCCAGGACCAAGAGATTTATTAAAAGGGGCTGTTACAGAGGGGATCTGTAACGGGAAAAAAGAAGAGAGAGAGAGAGAGAAAGAGAGTAAGAGAGAGAGAGGAAGTGGGAGGGAGGCGGGGAGAGAGCTGCAGAGAGGGAGAGAGCGACAGAGAGAGAGAGAAAGAGACCAAGAGAGAGAAGGGTCGCGGTGAGAGGGCTGTATTTATCAGCCTGACAGGGGCTGGAAGGGGTCGTGCTATGTTCCTATCGGAGGAGCTGCATGGGAGCAGGGTGGGGCCAATGCCGTGTTATGGTCCTATTGGACGCACAGCAAAGCTGGCTACGGATTGGAGGCTTGCAGGTTTGAAATTCGCACGCAGGAAGGTTTGAAATTCGCGCTTGGGGAATTGTGCTCACAGAAGCCGGGACCTAGGGCCTTTGTTGTCTGGTGTGTTGGTGCCATTTTGGGAGCCACCCCTCTGGTCGCTTCCTGCACCCTTCATTACCACCTTTTCTGTTTTTTATGGGGAGGGGTGTCGTTACTCTTTCTGGCTACTTCCTGCTGGTCGAGGGCATTGTGGGGGTAAGGTGGTGGAAGGGTGCAGAACCAGCCAGAGCAGGGCCCAAAGGTAGGCGCTGAAGGTGTAGATTTCCGCAGGTGAGAGTTCCATGAAGGTTCCTAGTAAGTGTAGAACCGCGACTTGTTCCGGCCAGTCTTCCAGTGGGTCCGAGGGCGGTAGTAACCAGCTGTCTTGGAGTAGACTGTGGAGGAAGACAGAAAACCTGGAAGATAACATATCTAAAAGAAAAGTTAAGTGATGTTTAGGGACAGCACCAGAAGAAGAAGCCAGGTGGGGCACAGGTAACATTGACAAGTGATGGTTGAGTTGAAGCTGTGAACAGGGGAATTTCTGATAGTGGGGGGAAGTGAACAGAGGATTTTGTGTGCAGGGAGTGGTAAGATTTTTATGAATGGTACTGCCGTTTTTGCTATTGCGAATAATGCTGCAATAAACATGTATGTGTAGAACTAACTGTGTTGTCCGCTGAAAGAAGACTGGATAAAGAATGTATATACATGATGGAATATTATGCAGCCATAAAGGACAAAATTATGAACCCTTTTTGTAGCCTTGAGTGTTTACAGAATTTCCCTTACTTTTTTTACAAACTTTCACCTACCATGTTCAACATACTTATACCATTTTTTGACATGCTCATACCATTTTTGATATGCTTAAACCTTCTATTTTTGTTCTATACTTTCTTTAACCAGCCATTCTATTATAGAACAAAAATGTTCCATACAATATTCTTTCCTATACAATTATTTATCTTTTCTTTATCCTTTCTTACTAAAAACATACCTTACACCAACAACTTTCTTTACATTTTTCCTAACCTTCGAGTTTTAACCAAAGCAATAAGTTTATATGCAGTGGAATTGCTTAAATAGGATCCAACATGAAACTATTAGGGAAATTTAAAGCTATACAAAAGGCACCCAAAAAGCACAGTGGTGATGGCTCAGGGTAAAGAATAATACGAGTTTTAATTTTTGTCATAATGTCCCCTTTTAATAATGGAACTGGACACGTTGGCATAATAAAGAGACAGTGTTGAAATATTTTATTTCCCAGAACACATGGAAGTAATGGCGTAGTGAGGGGCCTGTATATAATGCCCTGTACCCCCACAACCAAAAGGGGTTAAGGAAGGAGTGGACCAGGAATTTAAGTAGAGCTGAGCATGTAGTTCCCGTATTAATAACAAATGATATAACCCCTCCAGCTACTGATATTTCCACCCTAGACTCGGTAGGTTTAATAGTTTGTTCCGAAGACATTGGGGCTACCAAGTTAGGGGCGAGTCAAGCTGACTGGAGCAAGCCCAAGAGATCCCCTTTTGAGATCGTGTAAGATACCTGGTGTCCTTTATTTGCAGCAAGCCTCTGGGCCATGTGCTCTCCTCCGGCTAGGTGAACGAGGCAATCATG